CTACTAAAACTAATAAAATCCTTTAATCCCTTATACCTCCTTTCCTCCTTTAATCTCTTTAACTTACTAAAACTCCCAGTGTAACTTATTCATGTGTATGGCTTGCACATTGATACCGAATAGCGTATATGCAGGAAACTTTAAGCCACCGATTTCATCAGGATTCGTTGACACACGGAAATTAATTGGTACGGTCGAGCAAAAGCGACCGACTATTATATATTCGAGAAAGCGTAAAGAAATCAGCGCATTGTAATGCAATTTCTAAAAAAATTATTTTGGCAATAAAAAATCTGTTGCATCTAAATTAATTCGTATTGTTTACCTTCTTTGATAACAGCTTCACAGAATTCAAGTTTAATTAAGTCTCCATATGTAATTTGCACGTCTGAATTTTGGCCGAAAACCTCATCTAATTCCTGAAAAACTTGTTGTTTAAAGTGGGGATAGAGATCCAAATAATAAACTATAAAGCACATATAATTCGCTGGCTGTTAAAAAAATAAAAGTCATCTAAATCTCGTATGCAGATAAATAAAATAATAGATAAAGTTTATGCGAAATCGGATTTTTTTTTTTTTTACATACCGTCTGAATTCCGCCACTCACCGCTTCCAGATAACTTCCAACAATGATGTCATCTGCCAATGGCTTACCATGCTCATCATTTGTCGTCAAATATGCTGTCAATAGATCAGGTGATGATTTTTGATTTTTGGGTGCATTTCCAAGTTCCTTTCGTCTTTCTCGAATTTGTTCAAGTAAATTATCCTTCAACCACTTCTTATGAGATAACATATGCTGAGTATATAAATTCATTCCCGGAAAATGACGAATAAATGTTGGAACAAAGAAAAAATAGACCATACTTTTGTCATATCCTTCAGAATGTGCGACAAAAGCATCACTTTCCTTCAAAAAGTCATCCTTAACTTTAATTTTCTTACTGGGTAACAATCTATTATAATAACTAGTTAGAGAATAACCTCGTTTATTAGAAAACACTAAGAAAGTCGCGTCAATAAAAAATCTTGACATCCATTCAGGAAATTCTATAACACGATCTTCCCCGAGCGCATTCCAGTATTGGTCTAGATCTTTAAAAACTTCTTGCGTCCACAAAATAGACTGTCTAATAAAATTTGGTGACGAAATATTCTTATCTAGAATTTTTTTATTATAATTCCAGTGATTAAAATTTTGATTGAACACAAGTCCTTCGTCAAGTAATCCTAATTCATTCAGACCCTCGTTATGTGTTGTGCGAAGAAAATAATTGTTGTTAATTAATGGACTAAAGAGTTTTTCATCTAAGTCAGCGCGACCTATCCAAACTTGTCTCTCAGAACATATATAAACTTCCCACATACCACCATATTTAGCGTGAAGTTTGTTTGCCCAGTCAGAGGGGTCACCTGAAAACTGATGCAAATTACCTATGAATGGTAAGGGGAACGGACCAGGAAGTGGACTTGGACGAGTAAAATACTTATAATAGAAATATGTTATATGTGCGAATAGACCTAATAATAAAAGTGGCAGAACGCCAGAGATTACAATTTCAAAGAACGACAGCATATTTGAAATTTATAAAAAAATTCTTAGATCTATTCTTCAGATAAAAGTTTGCCTATATGTACGAGTTCCGTCAAAAAAATAATTTTTTTTATCTTTAACCTTATATATATATGTATACTTTTTGTGTGATAACTAGTGATGAGCAAATTCTGGTTTTCCGAAATATCCCGCGCGGGGTGCGGGTTACGCGCGTGATGCGCGGAATGCGCGGGATAGGATTACATTGTGGATTTCTTAAAATTATGTTACAGCTATTTTCATAATTTCTGGAACACCTACTCGTTATCCGAAATCTTTTTGGTCATCCGATAAATTATATAGCTTTCCGGAAATTACATCGCTGTCTTCGGACCTTCAGTCCAGAGGCAGTGATGTAGTTTCCGGAGAGTTAGATAATTTACCAGATGACCAAAAAGATTTCGGGTAACGAGTAGGTGTTCCAGAAATTATGAAAATAGCTGTAAAACGGAGAAAAATGTTTTTTACATCCTTAGTATTGTAATAACGATAGATGCTATTTTAAGCACTGGTCACGAAAGCTCCTTTTTTTTTTTTGTAGTTTGACGTGGCATTCTATGATTAGTATTTGCGTTATTTTCGTCGGAGATTTTGGCGTTTACAGCTGTTTTCATAAAATTTGGGACACCTGAAAGATTGCTCTTTCCCAAAATCTTCTCGATCCCGTCTTAAGACTCACCTAACTTTTCAGAAATTACGTCGCTGTTCTCAGAACTTCAATTCAGAGACAGCGACGAATTTCCGAAAGGCTAGGTGATTCTTAATTAAGACGGGATCGAGGAAATTTCGGGAAAGAGAGATTTTTTCAAATATCCCAGAATTTATGAAAACAGTTGTATTATAAAAGAAGTAAAGATTCCCCTTTCGGTGTAATAAGAAAGACCTTTAGGTTTTAATTTTAGAAACTTTATCTCAGGATAAATATTTGAACATTATAACTTATAATTTTATATTTTCTATAAGAAAGCATTGTCAAAAGAAGATATTAAAATTGTGTTTGAAATCTGTTGATGGTGATGTTTCTTATTAACATAGTAACCTTAGTTTAAGGCATAAAATTTATTCACAATATATTGAAGATTGTGCTGTATAACGGATGATGGTTACTTTTTGAAATTTAACAAAATAATGATATCCTCCCGATAATGATTTTCAGCCCTGATTGTCATATTTGCTGGATCTTGTAAAATCTTTATACAGAATTCAAAAAAAAAACATTATGCTGGTAAAATTTTAATCACTTACTAACCAATCTGCTGTCAAGAAATTTAGCAAGTTTTGCGAACGGTTGCACGATTAAAATGATAATCTTGAGATAACCATTTATATTTCACAAATTTAAATTAAAGAAAAGAATACAATTTGAAGATATCATCCATCTCTAAGCTGTAAATAGAAAGTTATAAGAAGATCAGAGAAATAAAAACGATCTTAAATATTTTGTAGAAGTTATCACAATACAGTACATAAAATTATTAAGCCAATCGCTGTACCATCAATCGAATATTTATTAGTTAATAAGACAGCTTAATAGTTGTGAATTTTAAATTAATTAATGATAGTCCAGTGAATATTATAATTTATTACTAAAAATTAATCCAAACTTCTTGTGGAAATAGTTCTCTCATAATTTTCCAATGTTCAAATGCCGATATCTGTTGCAACTTGTCCAAAGGATTATGTGTATCAGTAATAATATCGGTAACATTTCGATAATTCATTAAGTTGATTTGCCAATTAAGAAAATTTCCAAGTACATATTCTCTACTTGCGCTACCTAAAAAGTCAGCTTGTGTTGCTGTTCTGAAATTGATATAAATTGAAGATGCGAAAAAAGCCTTTATAAAAGGATAAAAAATTTTAACATATACAAAATTTAGGTGAATTAACAATGATATAAAATTTTCATAGGAGTAATTATAAATTCAATAAATTCATTTATAATATAGTAACACTTACCATGTTTTGAAAAGATGCGGAACTTTGTGGACCTTCTCTGAAACATTTTACATATGGAAAAATTGACTTGATTGTTTTTGCTACTAATGCTAAACTTTCAGCTTGCGGCCACTGTTCAGAACTAACAAAATTCTGGATCAAAAAAAAATTTATCAATATTAAATTAAAAGTGAATAAATTTCTTAATACTCCATTTCTAAAATAAATACCAATACTAAAATGCCATTTTTCTTAAGTATTCTCTTAATCTGTTCCAAAGCTTCAATTGAAAATAATTCAGAACAGTGGCCGCAAGCTGAAAGTTTAGCATTA